GTAAAGGAGTACCAGAGAGGAGAAGGGGGTTGCCTCAAACTCACTGAGACATGACGGGTAGAATGCAGATACATAAAATTAGGGCAAAGAAACAATGGGCGTTGAGGGGGTGGAAGGAGAGGGAGGTAAAGGGCGGGGGGGGAAGGGGAAGACAAACACACAAACAGGCAAACGAACAAAACGGTGGCAAGGGAAAGATTTGAAGAGGAAAAGGACCAGAGGAGTGAAGGGGACGGAGAAAAAGAACAGAGTGTGGCCTATCACGATCTAGGAGACACCAAGGGCAACGCAACAGCAAGGTAGAGGAACAAGGAGGAGACGCCTGCCTAAGAAGACAGATCATAGGAAATAGGCAAGGGTGAGGACCGTCCGATCATAGATGTTTAGAAACCTCTCTCTCTCTCTCTCTCTCTCTCTCTCTCTCTCTCTCTCTCTCTCTCTCTCTCTCTCTCTCTCTCTCTCTCTCTCTCTCTCCTCTCCCCCCTCCTCAAGCTCTTTTCCTCCGCATTGGTGTGGTGTCGATTGTGCGCCTCGCTACCCTCCTCCTCCCTCCCCCTTCCCACCCCCCCTTTTCTCTCCCCTTTCCAGGGAGACTCTTGGCCACCGGCATGATGAGAGTAGTTGGTCAGCCAACTGCTCATCGCCATCGGCCCTCTTCATTGTTGAGCAGCAAAAGTCAATACACGTTCATTGCACTCGTGTGGGAGGAGCTGAACACCCATGGGGGCAACGTAAGGAGGAAGAAAAGAGAACGTGGAAGAGGGAAAACGAGGAGACACATTGACTGGTAGGAAGAAGAGAAAAAAGAGGGGCAGGGGGAAGGGGGGGGGAGGGAGGGGGGGTCTTCTAAGAGGGGGAGGTGGTTCTTCAAGGGGGCGGAACACCAAAACCATGCACATAGAACGATGAAGAAAGAGAGGATGGAGGGGAGGAAGAACTGCAAAAGAAAGGGGGAAGAAGACTAGCGAAGTGGGATAAGCGGGGTGAGAGAACGCACGCGTGTGCAGAGGATCTAGAAAGCCGTCACACAAGGGAAGAGAGGGCGTGGAAGGGTGGAAGAAGAAGGAGAAAGAGGACGAGGGACGAGGAAGAGAACGAAGAGGAGAGGCAAGAACAAGACGAAGAAGAGCACGAGGAGAAGAGAAAAGAGGACTAGGGGAAAAGAAGGAACAAGGGAAGAAGGCTTATCAGGAAAGGCGCAGGACGAGGAAAGAGATGAAAGAGAAAGAGGAGCAAAGGAGAGGCGGAGCAGGAGGAAGAAGAACGCCGAAGAGAGGAGAAGAAAGAGGAGGAGGAAGACGAGGAAGAGAAACAAAGTCGAAGTAACGACTCCATGAGGGAGGAAACGCAAAGTAGTGTCACCGAAATGCACAAGCGTGCTCCATCCAAGATGACGACGAAGAGAAAGCAGCAGCAGCAGCAGCAGCAGCAGAAGAAGAAGAAGAAGAAGAAGAAGAAGAGGAAGAAGAGGAAGAAGAAAGAAAAGTAGAGGATCGCTGACATCACGAGAGGGAGACAGAACGGATAAGGACGAGAACGGCGGGAGGGAGAAAAAGAAGAGGTGGATAAAAGGACTTCTCTGATGTTATTGCTCGAAAAACTCTTAACGAGAAGCAAAGAATGACGAAGAAATGAGAAATGGACAAGAGCGGGTGCAGACTGTCGCGGCGATGGCTCGGGTCCTCCCACATTTCTTGCGGCGATGGTAACACGAGGAGAACGAGTGCGGCGATGGTAACACGAGGAGGAGGAGGAGGAGGAAGGCGAAGAAAAGCTGAATGAGTGCGGGACACCGCTCCCGTTCTTGCCCTACCACGAACAACAGATAGAGCAAAAGAAAAAGAACCACCACCAGATCAAAACATGGGACAAGAGTAGAATTACAGTAAAACGAATCAGATTACCCGTCAATGGGCAAACATCCACGCGACAAACCGACGAAGACGAGAAAGAGGGGAAGGAGGAATCGAAAGAATGGTGAAAGGCAGGAAGACGAAACAACCTTTGAGCAAACACAAGAAAGAGAAGAAAAAGAAGGAGAAGAAGGAGAAGAAGGAGGAGGAGAAGGAGGAGAAGGAGGAGAAGAGGGCCAAAGGGAGGCACGAGAGAAACTTTCAGGAAACATAAGCAGAAGACGGAGAAGAATGAATCAAAAGGGAGGAGGAGGAGGAGAATGAGGGCACAGAAGAAGACGAAGAAGAAGAAGAAGAAGAAGAAGAGGGCCATAGGGAGGGATCAGAGAAACTTTCAGGCAAGAGAAGCGGAAGACAGAAGAAGGGGGCAAGAGGGAGGAGGAGGAGGAGAAGGAGAAGAACAAGAGGGCAAAATGATGGACAAGCCACCTTTCAGGCAACATAAGAAGAATAAGAAGAAAAAAAGAAGAGGAAGACGAAGAGGGAAGACAGAAGAAGGGGGCAAGAGGGAGGAAGAGGAGGAGAAGGAGAAGAACAAGAGGCAAAATGATAAACCCACCTTTCAAAAACATAAGAAGAATAAGAAGAAAAAACGAAGAGGAAGACGAAGAGAGAAAAACGGAGCAGGATAAAGGGAGGGGGAGAAAGGGAGGAGAGGAGAGAACCAGCAGCAACCTTCCAGGCGACATAAGAAGAAGAAGTAGAAGAAGAAGAAGAAGAGGAATTGACGAAGACGGCGGGAGAAAGGGGGAAGGTGCTATGGGCCGGAAAAGAAGGGAGAAAATAAGATCTGGTGTACAACGTCCACGACTTGGACGACGAAGCAAGCGTACATGCATACATGACATGATGATGCGCACACAGAGCCAGCACCCGGTTGGAAAGCGGAGAAGGTGAAAGGCACTGAAAGCTTTGACATGACGTGTGACCCGATGGCACTCCTTAGGAGCGACACGCTAAGGGAGTTGTTGTGAAGTGATAACATGCGTAAGTACCGGTCCTCTGTGTCCGGTACTATGTTTCCCTGTGCTGAGCATTTAGACGACCTATAGATGAGTGCTAAGGGAGTGCCGCCAGACCGCTGCGACCTGGAGCAAGCATCGAGGTAACATAGTCGGGTCGCAGCGGTCTGGCTGCACTCATCTATAGGTGCAATGGCTGGGAAGAAACGTTTATGCCTGCATCTATCTAAAGGAATGGAGTAAGGGCGCAGCAAGAGAACAGGGAAAGGACGAAGAGCGCAGCAAGAGCCGGTAGGAAGCGTCTATGGCTGCATCTATCAATAGGCAGATGTATATGAAGAGGTCTATGGCTGCATATATCAAGAGGAAGAGGAGAGGTCTATGGCAGTATCTATCAATAGGCAGATGTATAGGAAGAGGGAGCGCTCAGAGCGCTCGGCACGCACTTCCTCTACATAGATGAAGTAGGGGTAAATGTGTAGGAAGACTTAAGTAAATAGTCACTCACGAGCATGGGAGGAAACGTGGAAGAGGGGGG